GTGGGAATATGTCATACGTTCTTGGCCATTGTCGGGATTCCAGAGGCCTGTGGAGGCCTCCAGGGACCTCTGGGGACCTCCCGGGGTGAAGTTCCTGGCTTACCAGTAGGAGAAGCTGCTTGACCCCCCCATGTCCCTCCCCCCGAAAGCTTCCATCTCCCCTTGGCCGTTGCTTCGGCACGACGTAGGCAAGCGCAACGAGTCGCAGCGCGCGGGCCATTGCCGAGCGAGATGCTCAGACAAGCTGACCCCAGTCTTGGACAGTCTCCCTCGTGTAATGATGAGTTCATGTGTTACGACTGATTAGGCCACTGGGGTACGTAGTCTTACGGCTGGGCTTCGCAGGCCGAGGGCGGATGTGTAGCAGCATGTTGCGTGTTGTCCTTATGTCAAATCCTTCCTCCCATCCTCCTCTTCCGCCTCCTCCTCATCATCACCATCCCTTCTCCTTTGGAGGTTGCTTCCTGATGCTCGCTGCAGTGCGATCTGGTCACAGTGGAGGGAAGCTGACCAGGGCCTGAACGAGGGGAAGTGCTGGCCCCAGCCGCTCCTCCCAGCCCCCCGTGCAGGCGCAGGACGCAGCACGAGCCTCAAACATCGGATGTCCGCGCGGATTCTCTTGCATCGGCGCCGGGACCCCCCGCCCCCTCTCGAGGCGCCGCCCTCGAGGCGCCGCCTCGCGCGCGAGGGAGAGGGGAGGCCCCGGCGCCGCTCCAAGAGAATCCGCGCGGGCCTCGCAGTTAAGTCGGGCCTGTCCCCCTGCAGGGGGGATTTTTCGACGCAGAGTAAAAAAGATACCCCAGAAATAGTCAAAAGATAGTCCAAAAATAGTCTGGGGACTATTTTGGTTGTATTTCTTACCTTTTGGGGGCATTTTGTTTTTTTTATTTTTCGTCGGAAATCCCCCTGTAGGGGGACACGCTCGACATAACGCCAGGGAGGGGGGGCCCTGGCGCCGATCCAAGAGAATCCGCGCGGGCCTCGTACAGTTGACGCACCACCCCCGCAGGTGCGGGTAAAGAGTGAGTGGGCGGGCGGGTGGGTCGCGGGTGGGACTCCGACGACGCAATAGCAGCACGAATCCGCGCAGCGGAAGCACACTTCAGCCACGCGCCAGGGGACAATGGCTGCCCATTCGGCCCCCAGTCCGATGTTCATGCCGCTTTCATCTACGAAGTAAACCAGTGGCTGTGCTCGTCCACCCCTCCCAGACCCGAAGAGGCGCAGACACGGCGTCGAGCGCGCCACAGAGAGTCGGCGGTCTGGGAATTTTGTTCTGGTCTGGCTTGCACGAAGCGCAACCCCAAGGACACCTGCGCATCAGCCGGTAGTTCTTCCGGCCATGGCGGCATGGCGCCCTCATCACAAATCCTTCGGGCTCGCCTCGGCCCCGTGCCCCTCATTCCTGGCCCTGGCCACTTCCGCTCCCACGGAGCCTTCCAACTCTCACACTCCTGCCCAGCCCCTCCACAATCGTTCGCACAAGCCACCGCTCGCAGGACAGCCTCTCGACGTGGTCGGACGCTTGAACACCACTCGTGCGCACGGCTACTCGAAGTAGCCAGGTAGATCAGTCGCTTCGCGACTGCGCCATCAAGCTTGCCATCGTGCTGCTGCGTCCGCTCCCCCTCCCCGCCCTCCGAGCATGTGCTGGCAAGACAGCTCCGCGGCGTGCTGCCGCTGCGCAGCCAGCGCGCCGCCGCGCCGCAGCGGCCGGCCACCCCGAGGCCCTCGGCGAGTCCCACCCCCCCCCGGGGCCGCCGCGGACCCTCCCCTTGCCGAGCCTCCCGCGGCGGCCGCCTCCCGAGGTCCCCCCCGCGCCGTCGTACACGGTCGAGGAGCGGCTGGGGCGGGCGAGGCGGCCGCCGTCGTGGGGCGGTCCAGAGGCTGTCGCCGCGCTGGCCCAGGCCTCCCACTCTGGGGCGGCGCAGGAGCACGAGTTCGGCTGCGCAGGCAGTCGCGCGCAGGCCGCCAGGCGCACGGTCGCGCGCAGGCGCCCTCGCGGGCGCGTCGCGCCGGCGGCCTGCGGAAGCCGCCGCGGAAGGTCTCGTTATGTCATCTTGCGTAAGGCCCTTTTCCTGTCGACGCTCGGATGGGGCCAGAGGATCGCGCCGCATCGTCGATGCATCGGCGATGCGGCTCGATTCAGAGCCCGATGTTCTCCACGCCGACGTTGCCGATGCATCATCGACGTCGCCGATGCATCGGCGGTGGGGCGCGATATTCCGACCCCATCTACTCGGACCCCACTTAGGAGTCCTGTATGAGGGGCAGGTGCCCCCCCCATCCTTCCGCCCAATGCCGAAACGCCGCATAAGAAAACGCTCACCTGGAGGTCTGGGAACCCCGTCCTGCCAGGTCGCTGGGCGAAGCATCTTCTATCGGCTTTCGAGAGGGCGCCGCGTCCAAAGCTTTTGCGGCCGTTCACCCGCTGGGTCTGGTCCCGGGTCGTGTTCACTTAAAGATGTTTCGGCGTTCTGCTAAAATTACGTCGGGCACGTCCCTCTACAGGGGAGATATTCCAAAATAGTCAAAAAATAAAGCGGGGACGATGTTTTGACTATTTTTGAGCATTCTTGGAATCTGTGCTAAACTATGTTTAGTTTTTTGTCGAAAATCCGCCTGTAGGGGGACACGCCCGACCTGATGCTAAAGGGGGCTTGCCCAGCCCCGACATAGCGTCTTAACTACAGTCAAGACGCGCTATCTCGTGGGTGGGCAAGGCACTTTGGGCTCGGGAGGGCCACGTCGGGCTCGGGAGGGGGCCTCTGTGTTGGGGCCCCTGCTCAGAGCCAGGTCGGGGGGCCTCTTCGAGGCCGAGGCTTGCCTTGACCAGAAAGGCCACCTCGTTTCTTGCTCGGCGTTCCTCATGGCAGTACGGTTTGGACTGTGGCTCAAGGAGGTCAGGGCTTGCTGCGGCCATCGCGCTGCGCGGGGAGCCCTGCTGCTACCAGAGAGCTGGACATACATTGACGCGATCGGCCTGGACGATAGTTGGGTACGTCTGTTGCCGCACGTCTTTCCGCCGCTCGGCCTTTGTATGGCCGAGTAGTCCAGTCTCCCCACATGTGTAAACATACAGCGTTTGGCCTCCGGATGTTCGGCATGTACATGCAGCCATGTGTTTCCGGATTATTCGTATTCTTGGGTGGTGTTTCAAGGAGGGCAAGGTTTGTTACGTCTTTCGCTGTATCGTGAATAGCTCTTCGGCTAGGTGGTCACATGGCTGGTGCAATTCCAGCGCCGACGCCCTCCAGGAGGCTGGTACCACGTGCTGGCGCTCGCTCGCCTGGGGCTGCATGCAGTCTCTGAAACCCCTTGCACCGCTGCGGCTGTGGGGAGATGGGCGGCGCTCAGGAGCGGCGCGTCGCTCCCCCGGGCACGCGGGAGCGACGCGTGTGTCGCGGAGCACTTCCCAGGGGACTCTCCACGGATTCGGCATCCAACGCTTTGAGTTCGAGCATCGGTCCTGCAGCTTGAGGCGTTATCGGTGCGATCACGGCACTTGCGATCCGTACGAATTGCCCCCCCCCCCTCCCCCCCTCCGCTTCGCGCTGCACTCTTTGCTGAGGGGTCGTCGCACGGTGAGAGACGTGTGTAGTCATTATCCCCCCTTCCCTTGCCTCGTGCAGAGTTCCGCACTCCGGGGTCACCCCTCCCGAGTCGCTTTCTGCACAATCATGTGGTGTCAGTCGTCCGGGCGTTTGGGCTGTGCCACCAAAGGGAAACGGTTTTGCTCAGAGTGTCTTGGAGCACGCCCATCAACGGTACCGCCCATCCTCGCCTACAGTCACCCGGGCTCCGCGGGGAAGTCGTCTCCTGCGGTCGCCCCCGCCCTTGCTTCGCTTGTGCCCGAGCGGGCACCGCCATCCTGAGCCGCGGGGTCCAGCGAACGAGCAACCGTCAGCCCTGTGCACCCCGTCCGTTCTCAACGTCCTGGAGAAGGTCCGTGCCACTCCCTCCCGGGCGGGGCGGGGGTGATCACGTCGAGATGCTGCCGTGCGGGAGCACGCATACCTGTGGCTCGCAGGCAGCGGTGGACGAATGGCTCCGCAGTGGCGTGTTCGCAGGCACGGACGTCCGCACCGAGCTGCTCAGACGAACCGTAAGACCCGACGCCTCGCGGGCGGAGAGCGCGGTGCTGGAGGGGCGCGAGCGGAAGCCAGGGGTTCTGTCTCGATCGTCGTCGCTGAGGGTGGGGATTTTTCCACGGCTCCCAGCATGCCAGTCAATTCGAAAATTGCCGAAAGGGGCGAGAGCGTCCGAGATGGGTAGAGTGAGTGCGCCCGCACTTCACGCCATCGGCCCGCGGCATTCTTGTTTCAGTCCGCATCATCAGGCACAGTTGCAAAGCCCTCCTCATCCTTCTCCTTTTTTCCTCCTGCTCCACCTTCTCCTCCCTTCTGCATGACTCTTGTATTTCGCCGCATGGGCCTTGAGTGATTGTTGTTCCCACTGTGGACCCCGTGGCGTTGGGACGAGGAGCACGTTGAGGCGAAGACGCCATGGGATGAAATGAGGCGCTTGGACTAGATTGAATGACGGGCCACAGCCAGGCATGGCCGAGCTCTGGGTAGGGTTTGGCAAGGGACGAGGAGCGAGGAGGAGGCGAAGGAGGAGGGGCATGTTCAGTGGAGCAGTCTGGCAGAACTCGGTACCGACGGGGCTCATTTCCATTGGAAGGCAGCAGACAGCACGACATGTCCAGGCAGGCTTAGGGATGTGCACATGCGGACGCTCGCTGCGACGCTCTGTCGGGGCAGACCCTTGTGAAGAGCAGTGTCCCACGAATCCGCGCGAGAGGGCCCCCTGAGTCCTGCCGTGGATCGGAACATGCGTTGTGCGCTTTGCCTTGGTCCCTTCGCTGCCCCCCCCCCACGAGGACCAGCCCTCGGCTTCAAGTGGCGCGTCCAGGGAGGCCTCGCCAAGCAGCCTCGGCAAGATCGTCTACAAGCTGGACGGACTGAGCAAGTATCCTGGCTACAAGCAGGCCGCCGAAAATGCCGACGTGCGTTTTCTCAGGACCTCCACCGCAGTCCACCGTAGTTGCGCGACAGCAGGTCACTAATCGGGATCAGTGGGCCGACGTCAGATCACTGATCGGGCTCAGTGGGCCCTCGACGACATGATCTCGCGACCACCCATGGAGAGGGAGTCTCAGGCGAAACGCCCGGCCCGCCCAAAAACCTGGCCTCGGGGCGCGACAGGGAGAAGCTGTTTATAAGGAATGTAGGAGGAGGAGGAGGAGGAGGAGGAGGAGGGGCCTGCGGACTCAGAGTTGGTGCACCGCGCCCTCTGATGTTGACTATACTTGGGACGCTCAGGATCACGATCGCGCATCGGTGGGCTGGGTCACCCGCCCCAGCCAGACAATGCGAGGAGTGAGGTAAAGGAGGAGCAGAAGGAGGAGGAGGAGGAGGAGGAGGAGGAGGAGGGGGAGGTAGGAGGGGGAGGTAGGAGGAGGAGGAGGAGGAGGAGGAGGAAGAAGAAGAAGAAGAAGAAGAGAAGGACGAGGAGGGGCAGAAGGAGGCAGGAAGGGAGGACATGAGGAAGAGAGGAGGGAGAGAAGGGAGGAAGGAACACGGAAGAGGGCGTGAACGGGGCAGGTGGTATGGGGGCAGGGGGGGAAGGGGAGGAAGAGGAGGAGAAGGAGCAAAAAGAGGGGGGAAAGAAAGAGTGAGGAGATTGCGGAAAGAGCCCTCTTGGAAGACAACCGCTTGAAAAAAACAACCGTGCCAAAGCACCGCTTTTGGGATCTCACCACAGAGAATCAACATTAATGCTGCGACCTGGCAGTCCGAAATAGTGCCAGCACACTGTTTGAAAAGCACCAACACCCCGAAGCAGCGTGATTTGTCGCGCGTGCCGCAAGACCTTTCTGGGAGGTCAGCCAAAAGGACCCATCGAACTTGCTGCAATCCGTTAAGGCGAATGCGCACGGCGCTAAGCCGAGAGCCACATTCTGAAAATGAACCGGCTTCCACCCGTGAACTCTTGCAAACGTTCAAGGCGACTGCGCGCAGCGCAAAGGCGAGAGGCACATCCTGAAGACCGCCCGCCCTCCACCCGTGCAACTTGCTGCAATATTTGAAGACGGATGAGCGCAGCGCAACGGCGGGCCCGCTCGCTCGCACGGATGAGGAGAAGAGGAGGATTCGGAGGAGGAGGAGGAGGAGGGGGAGGAGGAGGGAGGAGGAGGAGGGGGAGGAGGAGGAGGAGGAGGAGGAGGAGGAGGAGGAGGAGGAGGTGGAGGAGGAGGAGGAGGAGGAGGAGAAGGAGATGGAGGAGGAGGAGGAGGTGGAGGAGGAGAAGGAGGAGGTGGAGGAGGAGGAGGGGGAGGAGAAGGAGATGGAGGACCTCATCGTGGACAGGCGTCCAAGTCGCCTGAGGTCGGGCAACGAATCCTGTAACATGATGTCGATGTGCTTTGATTTTGAGATTGAGTTTAATGTTGATTCGAGTTCAGCGTTGAGGCACATTAATGCGTTGATCGATGATTATGCTTCATCTTATCGTGCTTCATGTTCCCGGTTGATTCTCGTGTTCATGTTTTTGTGTTGTTTGTGGAGTGCGGAACCCATGGATTCGGCGAACCCACGCTCCATTGAGAGCGCCCCCTCTGCGTTTTCTTCGGGGGGAGTATCCGGGCGTTCGGGTCTTGCGTTCGGTGTGCGTTTGGCGGGTACTTCCCCGGCGTTCAGGGACTTGCCCGGGGGCGGGAATCCACAACCCCCCTCTGATCAACAGGTGGGCGGGGCGGTTGGGTCCTCGGACCTTTCCCCGCTAACCGATCTAGGGGGTATTTTCGGTGACGTAACTGGCCCCCACGCACCGGTTGCGGGCACACGTGCTATTAGCCACTTCTGGTGTTCGGGGTCACAGGGCCCACAGCCAGCTACCTTTCCCTCCAAGAGAGATCGTCAGCCAAGATACGAGCGGAGACGGAGTGCTAGGAGGGCCCGATCTATTTTTAGGCGTAAACGTAGACGAGGTTTGGCCCTGCATCGTCTATCCATTATCTAGCGTTTTAATAAGAAGAGAACTGATGTGTATAATATAACGGGTGGTACTTGGAATACACACAAGATGGGCGCCACAGCCGGCTTGGGAGATGCAGCCATGAAGGTCGATTGCATTTTGACACTATGCTCTCGTCGCAACTGGGACTTCGCTTTGCTTACTGACCTCTCGTTTGATTGCAATGGTGTGAGGGAATATACACATGAAGGATGGATGTGGACGTTGATCATTAGGGGGAAGGTAGGAATATTGTTGAGTGGGAGATTGACGAAGAAATGGAGGGAGGGAGGAGCGCGCGTCATTGTGCGGGGAGGGCAGGAGAGGAAGGGGATTCGGTGCATGGGTCTGTTGTTTCCGCGGAAAGGAAGAAGAAGAAGAGGGATGTCCCTCCTCTGTGCGTACGCCCCTGTGTCAGGGGCGGAATTTGCTAAGGAGCGAGAACGCTTCTACGACGAGGTTCGCTTCGTCGAGTCACGTTGTCGGGGAGCTGACAACCTGTTGATCCTTGGAGGAGACTGGAATGATGAGGTAGGGGTTCCGGTGGATTCAGCAGAACGGGACATCATTGGCGTGTCAGGATATCCCCGACGTACTGCATCCGGCCGTGAATTGATGGATTTTTGCCAGTCAGTGCCACTCTTCGCGGCGAGCACAGCGTTCTCACAGCGGCGACTGGCCACTTGGATGCACCCCAGGTATCGCTCTTGGCATCAGTTGGATCATATATTGGTGCGCCCACGGGACAGGTGGCATGTGGTAAGCGTGCGCACCCTCCATTTCGGACCAGGGGGTTTCCAGGGTAACAGACGCCCGACGAGACGCAAACGGAGGAGGACGGATGACGCTTGGAGAACACGAGAGGATGGGGTGGTTGCGTGGGCCCCCTACACAGACCACGAGCCCGTGGAGGTGGGGCTTCGCTTTGGGGGCCGATGGTGGAAGAAAGCGTCCGGGCCGTCATCCTCGGATCAACCGAAACAGGTACCAAATTATGCAGCTATGTCGGGCCCCTCGGCCACAGCAAAAGAAAACCAGGCTAAATTCGCACGTCGAGTAACGGAGTTGCTCCTCCAGGCGCCCCAGCCGCTTAATTGGCCACAGCTGTGTGCAATTTCCAAACAGGCGGGCATAGAGATATTGGGACGCAAAGCCGCCAGGGCTCAGCTTCCATGGTTGAGGGGGCATGAAATAGAGGAGCGTGAGCGGGACAGCGCCCTTGAGCAGGCGAGGATGGCATATGCAATGGCGGACGATGAGACAGCATCCGAGGCACTCATTGAGCGTCGCCGTGTGGCCCGGGAGCGGCGGAAGGCACTCCGGCAGTGGGAGCGGTCATATTGGCACGACATTGGGGCCCGTGCTAGTGATGCGGCTCACCGGGGCGACCAAGGAGAGCTATTTAGATTATTTTCTGACCTTCGGGGTCGCGGTAAGCGGGGCCATGCTGACCCGGGCCGCACGAGCACGGAAAACGTCGATAAAGAGCGGGAAGCCTGGAGGGCACACTTCGCCAGTATTTCTGGTGATGTGGGAGTGGTAGCAGATAGGGTGTGGCAACATGTACAGGAAGCCCCGACACAAGCACATCGGTTAGACGCGATTCCGACTGATATTGAGCTGAATAAATGCGTTAGTAAGATGAAGACGGGCCGTCAGCCCGGTGATGACGGCTTCGTTGCGGAGGCTTTGAAGTATGGTGGCGAGGACTTCCGTAAAGAAGTTTTCAAAGTAGTAAAAGATATGTGGATTCGTTCAATCTCGGCGGAGGCCGGCCATGAAGCTGAGGCGTGGCCCAAGGAATGGCGTGTCGGCCTCGTCATACCTTTGTGGAAGCGCAAAGGTTCGCGCAAGGATAAAAACACGTGGCGTGGCATTACTTTACTTTCGGTTGGTTCGAAATTGCTGTCTCGAGTCGTGGCGTCTCGAATATCAGAGTGGTCTGAGCCTTGGTTAGGGGAACCACAGTCCGGGTTCCGCCGCGGGCGGGGCACGGATGATGCTTTGCAGGTGACTAGACGCATTATCGAAGAGGCGAGTGCGATCAATCAGGACGAACTGGTGGTGCTGACCTTTTTTGACATTGAGAAAGCATACCCCGGGGTATGCCGGCCAGCGTTATGGCGGATAATGGAACTGCGTGGGTGTCCTCCCGGCATGCTGAAGATATGCAAAGCTCTTCATGAGCATACAGAGTATAAGGTTCGCGTGCACGGCGGGCTGTCCGAGGAGTGGCACCCCCTTCGGGGCCTGCGAGAGGGGGGCCCGTCGAGCCCCCCGCTCTTTAACGTCTACCATGACGCGGTGATGCGGGATTTTCGTTTGCGGCGCAAGCGGAAGGCGGAGGATGCGGGACAGGTCCCGGGAGTGGAGTGGACGTACAAAGTGGATGGAAAACTCCATAAAAAGGCGCTGACACGCAGGCAAGCGCAGGCACGGCCAGAAACAGGGTCTTCTTTTAGGGATTGCGTCATCGGTGACGTCGGCTTTGCGGATGACACGATGTTAGTGGGATTTGAGGTGGAAATGCGGGACGCGGCCTCCTTGTTAGAAGATACCATGAGGGACTGGGAGGAGAAGGTGAACCGCGGCAAAACAGAGCAGCTCCGCATCACCGGGGGCCGGCGCCAACCGTATGACGTGAGAAGGGAGTTCGAAAAAGGTCAAGTACGCCATATTGGTGCCACGCACGAGGAGTCGGGGTTACAGGCCGCGGACACCGCAAAAAGAGTTAGCACCGGTAACGCCCTGGCGCGGGCCATAGCTAAGGGCTGGGCAGTAGGGTCACAGCACGGGCGAGGACGAAGTTCAGGGGTCAGTTTGGATACCCGTCTACATATTATGCAGACATGTGTGATCAGTTCGATCTTGTCGGGGCGCCGCTCCCGGCGCTGGAATAAAGACGACGTGAGGAGATTACAAAGAGTAGCCAACTACGCAGTCAGGCGCGCGTTCGGCATGGATACTTGGATTATGCATGACCTTCATATAACAGACGCGTCAATGTACACAGCGGCGGGATGGCGACCGATTGAGGACCAGA